AGGGACTCTTTCCTCCAATTTATATTTTTGATAGGCTTATCAAAGATCAAATGATGATAAACGTCTGGGTTCATCTCTTGGTTCTCAATTCTATTCCATACATCTACCTCTCTATTTTTGTGCCAATACCATGCTGTTTTGATCACTATAGATTTATTATAGTTTGAAGTCTGGTGGAGTGATTCCTCCTGATTTGTTTTTATTTCTGAGTAATGTCTTGGCTATTTGAGGTTTTTTCTGGTTCCATATAAAATGAAGTACTATTTTTTCCAGATCTTTAAAGTATGACAGTGGTGCTTTGATAGCGATTGCATTAAATTTGTAAATTGCTTTGGGTAATATGGACATTTTAACAATGTTGATTCTTCCTAGCCATGAGAATTCAGCTATTTCTTTTCTCAGAGTTTCATAACTCTCTTTATAGTGGTCTTTCATGTCCTTTGTTAGGTAAAGTCTCAAATGTTTCATCTTCTTTGGCACAAATGTAAAGGGAATAGAGTCCTTGACTGTTTTTTCAGCTTGACTATTATTGGTATATATAAAAGCTACTGATTTGTGAGTATTGATTTTGTATCCTGAGATGCTACTGTATTCCTTGATCACTTCTAAGAGTTTTGTGGTTGAGTGTCTGGGAAAAAATAAAGAAAGAAATAAAATATCATTTTAACTTTTTACATTGGTAAAAAATCTAAAAGCCTAACAAAATCCTTACCATTTTGTAGTGAAAATATCACACATGTTCTCTCATATACTCTCTGCTGGGTCAAATAAGAAACCCAAATAGCAAAGAGTAGAAAACTGCATTTTTAGAACATAGAGGTAAATTAATAAGGTTTATATCATCTCATGATTAAGAAGAAATGATAAAAAGTTAAACTAATTATCCAATTAAGGAATTTAGGAAGAAGATGAAACAGGAAACAGAAGAACAAAATAATGAAAATAATGCACAATCTAGTAATTGCCAAATATAAGAACACTCACAGGATGGCTGAAGGGGGGAGGAAAACAAATAGGGAAGTAATAAGATCAAACATAAAATCTGAGATTTTTAATATAAAAAAGAAAAACAAAAAATAAAATTAAGAAACGAGTGAACTATATCTGAATTTTTTTAATTCTCATGAAGTAAACCATTCTCTAGGAAAATGAAAATTGCCAAAACAGACTCAAAAGCTATTAAAAAGGAGAGTTTGACCTCCTCTGCTCCCATTTGGATGCCCTTTATTTTCTTGTCTTGTCTAATTGTATTGGCTAGAACTTCCAGCACTATGTTGAATAGTAATCATGACAGCAGACAACCTTTTCTGGTTCCAGTTCTAAGAGGAAAAGCTTTCAGTTTTACTCCATTCAGTAAAATATTAGCTGTGGGTTTATCATAGAATCCACAGAGAAGTATGAATCCTATGTATTCAACTTTGATATGAGGACAATTAATGACAATTAATGACATGGTGGGGCCTGGGGGAAGGGGAGAGCAGACAGAGAAGGAGGGAGGGGGTGAGGGAAAGGAAAAGAAAAAAAAATTGAAAAAGGTATTAAAAAGGAATAAACCAATGAAGTCTTATGAAAGAATCACCTCCAAAAATAGTTCTAAGGACAGTCAATATTATTGAGAAGGGCAAACTTTCCGGAAGCATATTTTCTATGCTATATAACTGTTTCTGGGCCTAAAAAAGAAAGAAAGAAAGAAAAACAAAGAAAAGCTGGAATGCTATGTTTATTTGATACAGCTATCAATAAGCTTGATAGAAAACAAGCATAACGGAGTTTATAAAAATAAATTTCAGACTATTGAATGTTCAAGTCTATTCTGATGGAAATTAATAAATCTATTGGTGTGACTTCATAGAAACATAAATGTGTGAAGTTGATGGATTCAAAGAATATGCATAAGCCATCTATCTAGACCAGAGGTCCTCAAACTTTTTAAACAGGGGGCCAGTTCACTATCCCTCAGACTGTTGGAGGGCCGGAATGCGGGCCCGGGAGAAGTCAGCTGCTAAGCAGGACAGGCAGTGGCGGCAAAAACACCCAGTGGGCCGCATGTGGCCCACGGGCCGTAGTTTGAGGACACCTGAGCTAGACCTTAAGATGAAAAGTCCAAGTTAAGAGAGGGAACATACCAATCGCTTGTATTCTCGCAACCACAAAACATGAAATGAGCAAAAGGCACAGAAAGGCTTTCCTAACTGAGGTTGCAAGAAGCTGAAACAGATTTTCATCTGTCACTCCTGGGGCCCTTTGGTAGATAGAGATGCCTTCTCCAAACTGACACAAGAGCATTAGAAAAACAGCATACACAAATACAGTGAGGGTAAATTTAGGTTGGAACCACATGAGCTCTGCTGTCTTGAGTCACTCTCTGAGGCTGTCAATGACCAAGGATGGTGCCCTCTGAAAAGGGCTTGTAGTAGAGCAAAGTCCACAGACAGACATGCACCCCACTTAAGAACATAAAATAATCCTCTGATGATGCCATGGCACTGTACCCAGGGTGACAGAGTGAGACTCCGTGTCTCTCTCTCTCTCTCTCTCTATATATATATATATATGTATTTACATATACATATGAATCCTACATAGCTTTTAGTTGAAGCTGATGGAGCACATGTAATATAGTAAAAAACTATGTGATGAAATGTTGCAGCAATGATGAAATCATGTAGAGGACTTAGAGGCTGTGGGAAGGCAGAGAACGGGCATGAATGAGAAAAAGATTTACAGAGGAAGGGATGCTTTGCTTACACAAGATCTGTTTCTCTCCATCTAGTTCACCTCAAGAGTGTGCTGTCTTTAACCTTTATATCCTACTTTTGTTTGTTTGTTATTTGGCTGGTTGTTTCAAAAAAGCATTTATAATTTGCTTTACCTATAGTTTTTTGTAGAGTTTTATATCATTTATTTTTTATAGCATCACACTTCCATAGAAAATAAAAATGTACCTGGTTGGGATTTATTGTTCTAAATCTAACATAGCTATAGTTAATAGCTTACATGGCCAAGCCTTACCAGAAGTATCTTACAAAGGGTTTGAAAGAAAATCTTGGCCAAGCTGTAAGAAATCTCTCAAAGTGGTTAATATGCTCCTGGAGCACTTCTGGAAACTTGACAGACTAAGGGGGGATTTTGGCCAGCTATCACAAGAAACATGTGCTTGTGGACTTCTAAGAATAAATGTGTACTATTTTATAGTCAGCTAGCCGAAGGCATTAAGGCATTAATGCTATTTTCCTGACATCTTGTCCATTAATAATTCTTCCCTTTGCAGACGAAGAAAATTGCACCAAAGATTTTACACCTGCATTATTTTAATTCCTCTCATGTTCCTTGATCTATCTATACCCTTCATCCCACACTTTTCCTTCCCAGGTCTGGTTCTCTGTACCTGGAACTTCAAATTCCAGAGGATATTCACCGGCATGCTCCTTCATACTCCTGTATTCCCCCCACTTCTCTCTCTCTCCATCCACCAATGCCGGCCTGGGGAGATTGATGTACAGAAGGCAGCTCTCTATTGTAGCTCAGACGTTAAAAACAAAGACAAAGGAAAAGTAACTTTGTAGGACTTAGATCCGTTAGAAGATTCTTTTGTGAACTAAATACATAACAAAATCTTATCATCAAATTATGCAGTCATTTGTAGTTCAAAGTAAGACAACACCTTTATTTGCCTGGCCTTCTCCCCTCCTCAAGAGGTGCTAACCCAGTAACACTTTTACCTTGAATAATTTTCTTCACAGTAAAAACATTAGCAGCATTTGAGTGTACATCAATGCAACCAAGTAAGGGTTGTGTGGTTATTATAAAAGAAATACTCCTTATCCTTAAATAATTGTAATTTCCATAGATAAAATAGGCCAAACCACAGTACAGAAAACATAAAATAAATACCATCTCCCCAAGAGAGCAGCAGAATGGCCTGTTAATCAGAGAAAACTATTTATCAAATCTACCGCACAACACTTTGATAGAAGTTTAGTAGTCGCAGGGGGTGAAATTTGTAGAATTTGGGGGTCTGAGTACAAATGGTTTAGGTCTTTCAAGGCATAGAATCGATTCAGGGATTGGGCAAAGTTTTTGACATAATATTTTAGGGTTAGTGGTAAGGCAATCAACTTTTCCTGGCTTTCCCAGGACCTTCCCAGTTTCAGCACTAAAAATCTCTAACCCAAGAATCCTTTCAGTCCTGAGCAAACAGGAAATTGTCACATCCAGCAAAACTTCATCCAGTGCTGATTTGAATAGCTATACCAGACACTAATGACAATAAATTGTAGCCCAACTTCACAAGCTTGACGTGGAAAGTATTCCAACAACTTTCAATTTTACAGCCTCTACTTGACAAAATACTGCACACCTGCGTGCATTCACCTCCCGTCATAGTAATAAAACTTAATTTTTTAAATACTTTTACTGCAGTAAGGTATATAGAACCTTAAGGTATATAGAAGTTTGCCATTTTAACTATTCCTATTACACAGGGTGTGCGACCATCGCTATTTATTTTTTTTAAGGACGTTCATGGTCACATCCATCAAGATAGCAGGCCCTGTACCAGGTGCTAGGAGCAAAACAGGACGCCATCTAGGCCTTCACTGACCACGCCGCGTGCTGATTTTTTCCCCAGAAGCCTTATGTACAATATGTACGGGGAAGGTGCCCAGGGTGGAAAGGTGCAGAGGGTACACTGCTGGGGTCAGAGAAGATCCCAACCAGCCCAGCGTCGGGCAGCACAACTGAGGACCCGGGGTCTCCCATCCCCAGTCCCAGAGTCCAAGCAGTCACCACGCTCCGTACCCTGGAGGGGCGGGGCATGAAGGGGCGGGGCTGCGCTGGAGTGAGGCTGCGTCGGGGCGGAGCTGCGTCGGGGGCGGAGCGGAGGCGGCACGGGAGAGGACGGTTCTTCCCTCTCCACCTGGCTGCGCCTGCGCGGGATGCCAGCGGGGCGGCGGCCTAGATGTGCGGCTGCGCTTATTCCCCGCTGCGCGGCGGCGGCGGCTGCGGCAGCGGCGGTGACGGCCGCCCAGCAGGAAGTCGGAGTGGGATGCGGCTGACGCGGAGGCGGCTGTGCTCTTCTGCCATCGCCCTGTACTGCCTCTTCTCCCTTTACGCCGCCTACCATGTTTTCTTTGGGCGTCGCCGCCAGGCGCCGGCCACGGTCGTCCGGGGCCTGAGGAAGGGGGCGGCCGCCGCGCGGGACCGGCACGGCCAAGGTAGGACGGGGCGGCGGGCCGGGCCGGGTGCGCTGCTCCACCTGCAGCCTGGTCGCCGGCTGTTGCGGTTCCCGCTCCCCAGGCGAGGCCCACGGCGCGCACCTGCTGGCCCTGTTACCTTAGAGGGTCCCAGAGGCCGGGCCCGCGGGAGGCTGCTCGCGTGGGGTGGGGGCGGGGGCGGGGTGAGACACCTGTCTGCGCGTTTAAACCCAGAGCAGCAACTTGGGAGGGCCGGAGCCCTTCACCTCCAGTGTCCTGCGTTTTCACGCATGTTAGGATCAGACTCAGCTTTCCTTCTCATTGAGAATTCCGCACCGTGGTACCTAAAGGTAGCGGACCCTACACTCTGAAGTTAAGTTTTTATGCCTACGTTACATATATACAATCGATAAAGAATTACAGAAGTTAAAGCTCTAACTTGATCCATATTATTCGTTTTTTTTTTTAAGTTTTGTTTTGAGGGAGAAAATTTTCCTGTCTCAAGTTAACATTTCATTTCTAAGTTCAGAGTAAAGACTCGATAAAAATTAAGTTGTTGGTGTTCTTTTAAATTATGTTTAACTAGTTAAAATTTTGTTACTCTGTCTCTGAAAAACTTAAGATAGGATGAAATTAGAGCGCTTTGACATCTAATTTAAGCGACTTGAGTCCACCTGCCCTTGGACCTCACTGGTAAACACTGTTACTTTTTTTTTTACAACAGAACAGCCTCCACTGGAAATGGAAGAATGGAATCCTTGGGAAGGAGACGAAAAAAATGAGCAACAACAAAGAATTAAAAATAGGCTTCAAATATTAAATAAATCCACAAAAGGAAAAACACACATAAGTGTACAAATCTGGAGCAAAGCTGCCATTGGTAAGTTAGGGTGTATAATAGAAGGAAGATGAGTAGAAAGCATTGTAAAGTGTACTTTATTGATATTAAACTTGTAACGTAGCTTTTTTAAATCATTTATTAAGGTATCATAAGTTTTTTTCACTTTTTGTCATTATTTCATTTCTCTTTCCCATTACACAACATCAGTGTGCAAATACACAGACCATTGCCAGTCTTTAGCAGAGCTCACCCTCATTTGTAGATACAGTAAGTCGTGTGGCATCATCATATTGAGGTACATACGTCAACTGAATTTTCACAAATCTGTATATTTATTGAAACTTGGTATACAAGTGTAATGTGACCCTTGCCCTTGATGACCAGACATGTTTGGGAAACATTGGAGAGAGCAAGTTTAAGCGGGGTTCTTCATTGCAGGCCTTTCTGAGAGCCGTTACTATGCCAGTGTTAATCATGAGTGTCCAGGAAAAGGATATAGTGTATATCTGAGGCAACTTGACTGCCCATAGAAGCATTTTGCTCTGAGTGTCTCTGGAGTCCCAAGATACAAATTATCCTCTATTAGAGAATGGGGGAGGGCTAAGAGAGTCCAAATTCAGTGATTTAGAAGGGGCTTTATTCAGCCTTTGAACATGAATTGGATTTATGTACAATAAGGGATATGGATAAAAAGTACCAGTACCAGATGAGAGGAAATTATATAGTGCATAGTGCGTGGCTGATGGTATTTCTTCAGTTCATTCATGCTTACCTACAAGTACACATCCTTGGAGATTACTTCTGACTTCTGAATTTCAAGTACTTGAACCAGGCCTGGAATCATTGAGTTCTAACAGTTTTTTTGTTTGTTTTTTTTTTTTAACCAAAGTCTCCAATATTGATTTCTTTCTTTAAATCTCCGCTTCCCCATCTTAGTTTTTAATTAATTTTACGTCTTAACAGGTATTGTTGTTCCCTGATTCTTCTCTTTTCAATCCAGTAAGCGCAACATAGCCAGATGAATTTTATCAAATGCTATTTTCATTAACCTGTTCCCTAGATAACGGTCATAGGACATGACATTCCTGTTCAGAAGGGGAGAAAATGGGGGCAAAAATGAGTCACTGGTCTAAGCAACTTTGAAATCTGATCAGGCAAGCTCCGTTAGTATTCAGGCCTAAGAATCATCTGTGGCCTGCAGCTTTGCCTTCTGGCCTTTCAGCTCCACCACTGGAGTCATGCTTTCTTTTTTCATGAAGGTAGCGCATCTTGGCAGCTTAGCAGTTGTTTCAGCCTGTTTTCTGCTGGTGGAATTTGGGGAGCCAAACAGATTTCTTTCATTTTGACCTCTCTCTGTCTCTTTTAGTCCAGCCTGGCAGTGTTTCTACTCTTGGAACACTTTCAAAACTTTGTGGGTCTCCTGTGTATGTCACAGGATTCACTCCATTAAATAAGAAGCTTCTCCACTGGCCTTTACTGAGTAATCTCATCTCTGTTTCTGGCTTCTGTTGAAATGGCTGAGGAGCATAATCTTTTCAAGGAGCCCTTGGTGTAGATGAATGTTCTGATTTTCTGCACAAGCCAAAGGTGGTTTGGCCACATCCTTGGCTTCCTTTTCAGAGCACACTTTCCTGATAGTAGATGTCTCTTTTTACCCCTTTGGAGTCTTTGTAATCTGAGAATGCTCCAAATCATCAAATTCTGGTTCCTTTCTGCTTATCATTTCTCTCAGTCTTTTTTTTCTCTTACATTTTACTATAATCAGCAAGAAGAAATCAGTTCATACCTTTAACACTTTGCTTAGAACCCTCTTCAGCTAAACATCCAAGTTGATCACAAGTTCTTTCCATGTAACGGCAGGACACAATTCAGGTAAGCTTTCTGCAGTTATGATACAAGGTTCTCTTTCTTCCTCCTTCTGGTAACATGTTCTTTGTTGCCGTCTGGCCCTTCACCAGGAGTGCGTGTTAGGCACTGCTTTAACACGCATGTTTCTACCATATTTAACACACAGTCTGCTGCCAACAAGTCAGGTGTTCTTTAGGATGTAACGTAGGTTTTCTTTGCTGTGTGCCTCCCTTCCTTCCGAGTCCTTACTAGCTGAGCTGTTAAGTTCCTTATTTCTACCTGCAGTCTGTTCAGGGCAGTTTAAGCTTTTGAAATTTTGTTTCTCAGAATTCTCCTAGCCTTTTCTCATTATCCAATTCTAAAGCCACTTCTACATGTTGAAGTATTTCTTCCTGTAGCACCCCATTTTCCAGGTACCATAATCTGTAACTACATAATCCGTAGTTTCCAAAATCTGTCACAACAAATTACTGCAAATTTAGTGGCTTTAAACAACACAAATTTATCATCCTCCATTTCTGAAGGCAAAAGTCTTACCTGTGTCTATAGGGCTGTTACTTTTACAGGTTGTGGCAGAGAACCCATTTCCTTGTCTTGCACTTTCTAGAAGCTGCCTCACTCTGACATGGGCTTCCGTTCTCCCATCTCCCCTCCTCACTCTGGCCCTCCTTCCCCCAACTTGGGAGGACTCTTGTGATTACTTAGAGCCCACCAGATGGTCCATGGTGATCTCTTCACCTTGGCATTCCTGCCTTAATCATATTTTAAAAGTCTCTTTGCCAAGGCAAGTAACATAGTCACAGGTTCTAGAGATTAGAACATGGACGTCTTTTGTGGGAGTACAGGGGAACATTATTCACAGTGGGAAAGCTTCATCTCATTGACCAAGTTTTAAAACATGGTTGTTTGGGATGTCTTTACTACCAGGGTGTAGTGAGAATAGAACAAAACACATCTTTCAATGTAAATTATTTTTTTAAGGAAAGGTTCCTAGAGGTGTTGTGTGGTCTTCATACACTTATTACCTCATTGTATGAGACTGCTCTCCTATCAAAAACGTTTGTTCAGTGGAAGTCACAATGAAACGTCAGGCTGCCGTAAGGAGAGAGGTGCAGTGGCATTTGTCTGTGAAGGGCACCCTGCAGTCAAGACTGTGTTCAAGTGAGGAAGGGGGGGTGTCCCCCAGCACACTAAACGTGTGTGTATACATGAGCCATAAAAAGGTGAATCCCCACTCCTGTAATCATACAGTAGTGTACTTTGTAATATGATACATTTCAGAACAAGACAGGTAACAAAGGTGCAATAATAATTAGGGGGGTTTGAAATCTAAAGAGAGGTTAGGGTCGGGTGGGCTGGCTCATAGCTGTAATCCCGGTAAGCACTCTGGGAGGCTGGGTCGAGTGGATTGCTTGATCTCAGGAGTTTGAGACTAGCCTGAGCAAGAGGGAGACCTTGTCTCTCCCAAGAACAGAAAAACTGAGATGAAGAGATGGATTCTCACTGTTGCCCGAGAGGATCGCTGGAGCCTGAGAGTGGGGAGTTTTTGTGAGCTATGATGAGGCCATGGCACTCTACCCAGGGTGACAATTTGAGACTCCATTTCAAAAAATAATAAAATAAAGTAGGAGAGGTTGTCATCATTAATATAACTCACATTTTGCCACATTTCATACTGCAAACTAATGAGTTCTATCTTGTTAGCCACCATATTGATGATTTTGAACTGTTACTTAATAGACAGTGAACCAAAGGAGAAAAGTACTGGTTTCAAGTCAGATGATTCAAGAAGCAGGACATATACTTATCTCATGCACCAGAGTTGATAAGAGAATAAATGTGTTTTGTTTTTGTTTTTAATTACTAGGCTTGTATCTCTGGGAGCATATTTTTGAAGGCTTACTTGATCCCACTGATGTGACTGCTCAGTGGAGAGAAGGCAAGTCAGTTGTAGGAAGAACACATTACAGGTACTGCTGTTGTGCAACATTGACTTCCCAGGTGTTCTGTGCAGGATTTTATGTGAATTCTAGAAGAAAAATGAAAAAAACTTTTCCGTTTTAACTTATGATGGGTGGAGAACTAAATCTCATACGTATTTTTAAAGCTTACTTGGATATTTTCTTAATGAAATTAGATGTTAAAAATACTCTTTTTGGAATTGTCTATTTTCTTTTACCTGATTATATGGAAAAATTTATACTCTGCATTTTGTGACATTTGATTGGTGATGAGCATTTAATTCTATATATTGGAGGAATAATATGTAAACCTAACTTTTTTATATAATAGGCATATTCATTTTTCATAATACTTAGGTATCAAAGCTGTGGCTTATCACTGTTAAAATTTTTGTTCATTAAAACATATTTCTTGGATGGTGCCTTTGGCTCAGTGAGTAGGGCGTTGGCCCCATATACCAAGAGTGACAGGTTCGAACCCGGCCCCGGCCAAACTTCAACAAAAAAACAGCCAGGCGTAGTGGCAGGCACCTGTAGTCTCAATTACTCTGCAGGCAGAGGCATGAGAATCGCCTAAGCCTAAGAGCTTGGAGGTTGCTGTGAGCTATGACACCATGGCACTGTACAAAGTGAGGGCAACAAAGTGAGACTCTGTCTCTAATAAAAAAAAAATTTCTTGTATGAATTCTATCATGATTAATGGTATAGATTACCACTTTTCTGCAGTACTCACAAATTTTTTTTTTTAATGTAAGTAATGATTTTTTTTTTTTTGAGATAGGGTTTTCCTGTCCTCTTGCTGGGGCTATCATCGTAACCCACTACAGCCTCAGACTGCTGAGCTCAAACAGTCTTGCCTGGACCTCCTAAGTAGCTGGGACTACTGGTGCTCACCCCCACACTTGGTTAATTTTTCTATTTTTTGTAGAGATAGATTCTTACTATTGCCCAATCTAGTCTCCAACTCCTAGGCTCAAGTAATCCTACCTTGGCCTTCCAAAGTGCTGGAGTTTCAGGCATGAACACTGTACCTGGCTTTTATTTTTTATTTTCATTTTTAAATTTTTTTTTAGAGACAGGGTTTTACTCTGTCTCTCAGGCTGGAATGCAGTGGCATGGTAGCTCACTATAACCTCAGACTCCTGGGCTCAAGGGATCTTCCCACGTCAGCCTCCCAGGTAGATGGGACTGTAGGCGCACACTACCGTGCTTGGCTAATTGTTCCGAGGAGGGGGGGGGGTTGTTGTTTTTGTTTTGTAGATACAGGATCTCTCTCTGTTGCCCAGGCTGGTCTTGAACTGAGGCCTCAAGCAATTCTCCCATTGGCTTTCCATAGTCCTGGGATTACAGTCATGAGTCACTGCAGCCAACCAGAAACCAGTGTATTGCTAACACTTTGTCTTTCGTTTTTATAAAATTTTTATCTGTGACTACATATTTTCTCAATGTTTTTAGATAGAATTGAGATTATTTTTATGTAGAAAAACTGATAATTTTATTATATAAAATAAGGCTATTTTTGTTAGCTATTGGTTTCTTATTGACATAAAAACATGTAAAAAATATTTTTAAATGCTTATTTTACAAGCAACAAACAGTTGCTTTATTAGGGAAAATGTGATTGTTGAGTTCTATTAGGATTTTATTCTTTTCCACAAAAATCAAGAGAGGAAAAGCTATAGTTAATCTCAATTTCATTTTCACTGCAGCTTTCTTTATATACACTTGGAAAACAGTGTCATTGTTTATATCTTTTCAGTGTAATCCTACTTGAAAAGTAAAAAGCTTTTAAAATCACCATTGATAATAGTTATATTTCCTTTTCTCTAGGCTTCTGTTGATCTAATCTCATGTAAGAGTTTATCTAATAGTTCTGAACTTAAAATAGTTGGATTTCGGTGTTTGAAAGTAAATGTGTATTACGTGTTTAAATTTAATGTTTTAGTATTTGAAAAGCATGTCATTAATATTAGTTTAATAGTTTTACCCAAATATGTAGAATTTTCAGAAAAATTATTACAAATTGGTAAGAAAAGCATCTTTAAGCTTAAAATTTTATGATAGGGAATGACTTGAGCAAACAGCATTAACTTCAAAAAGAGAGCCAAATTTATCCCTCCCTTCTGAAATTTTACGTGAGCTTTTACACAGGCATACCTTAGAGAAACTGTGGGTGCCATTCCAGACCAGCACAGTAAAGTGAGTCACAGCGCATTTGGGTTTCCCAGAGCATATAAATGTGTGTTTACACTAGACTGTTACCTGTTAGTGTGCAGTAGCGTTGTGTCTGTGCAGTAGCGTTGTGTCTGACAAAACAATGCACATACCTTAATTAAAAAATACTTTCTTGCCAAAAAAAGTGCTGCCAGCCATCTGAGCCTTGAGTGAGTCATCAGCTGTCTGCTGGTGGAGGGTCTTGCCTCAGTGTTGACAGCTACTGTCTGATATAGATGGGAATCACTGAAGGTTTGGGTGCCTGTGGCAGTTTCTGAAAATTAGACAACAAGGAAGTTGCTGCATCCATGTTCTTTTACAGAAGATTTCTCCGTAGCGTGTAGTGCTGTTTGGTAGCATTTACCCACAGTAGAACTTCTTTCACAATTGGAGTCACCCCTCTCAAACCCTGTCCCTGCTTTGTCAACTGTGTCTGAAATTTTCTAAAACCTTGTCCTTTAAACAACGTTCACAGCATCTTCACCAGAGGTAGATGCCCTCTGAAGAAACCACTTTTTTTGCTCATCCATAAGAAGCAACTCCTCATCCATTCAGCTTTATCAGGAGAGTACAGCAGTTGAGTCACATCTCCAGGCCTCACCTCTAATTCTAGTTCTCCTCCTATTTCACCCACATCTGCAGTCACCTCCTCCACTCAAGTCTTAAATTTGTCAGAGTCACTGTGAGGTTTTGAATCAGCTTCTTCTAAACCCCTGTTATTGTTGATATTTTGACCTCTTTCCATGAATCACTACTGTTCTTCTTAGCATCTAGAAAGCTGAATCTGTTCAAGAAGGTTTTTAATTTACTTTGCTCAGATGTATTGCAGTGGTTCTCAACCTTCCTAATGCCATGAGCCTTTGATACAGTTCCTGTGGATCACGACACACAGGTTGAGAAGCGTTGCATTAGAGGAATCACTATCTGTGGCAGCTGTAGCCTTACAGAATGTATTTCTTAAATAAGAAGACTTGAAAGTCAGAACTCCTCCCTCTTCCATGGGCTGCAGGATGGATACTGTGTTAGGTGTGAAAACAACATCAATCTGGTGTGTCTCCAACAGAGCTCAGGGATGAGCAGGTGCATTGTCAACGAGCAGGAATGTTTTGAAAGGCAGCCTTTGAGCAGTAAGTCTCAACAGTAACCGTGCTGCAAACGGATGTGCTGTCATCCAGGCTTTGTTCCATCTGTAGAGCCCAGGCAGAGTAGCTTCAGCATAGTTCTTAAAGGCTTTGGGATTTAAGGGTCAGTGCCTGTAGCTCAGCGATTACGGCGCCAACCACATACTCCGAGGGTGGCGGGTTTGAACCCAGCCTAGGCCAGCTAAATAATGTCAGCTGCAACAAAAAATAGCCAGGCATTGTGGTGGGCACCTCTAGTCCTGGCTACTTGAGAGGTTGAGGCAAGAAAATAGCTTAAGCCCAAGAGTTTGAGGTTGCTGTGAGCCGTGACACCACAGCACTCTACCAAGGGCAACTTGTGGCTCTGCCTCAAATGGAAAAAAAAGGGCCTTGGGATTTTCCGAATGGTAACAAGCATTGGCTTCAACTTAAAGTCACCACCTGCCTCTAACAGGAGGGTCCTTGGAAGTTGTGAAGCCAGTCATTGGCTCCTCGTCTCTAACTATAAAATTCCTAAATGTAATCTTCTTCTAATACAAGGCTGTTTCACTTACATGGAAAATCTGTTGTTTAGTGTGGCCGCCTTCATCAGTTGTCTTAGCTAGACCTCCTGAATAATTTGCTGGCACTTCTGCATGAGCACTTAAAATAAAAGGAATCCTGAGTTAACAAAACAGAGCAGTTGCTGTGCTCCAGTGCTTTCACAAACATTCCTCAATAAATTTTAATCCTTACAACCGCCCTGTCATGTTGGTGGTTTTCCAATTTTGTAAATGAAAACTCTGAGCAAGGCATAATGTCTCACACCTACTGTCCAGTCATTTAGGAGGCTGCGATCACGTGAGCCTAGAAGTTTGAAGCCTAATGTCTGAAGATCGTGCCTGTGAATAGCCTCTGTACTCCAGCTGGGCAATATAGCAAGACCCCATCTTGAAAAAACAAAAGAAAACCAAAAACCTTGATGCCCTGAAAGATTAAATATTACAGTGGTTCTCAACCTTCGTAATGTCATGGCCCTTTAATACAGTTCCTGTGGGTCACAACCCACAGGTTGAGAACCGCTGGAGTACTAAATAGTGAAAATGGGATTGAATCACGGTCTTTAACATGGTAGATTAGTCTACATCATCAGAAAGTCACCTCCAGTGTTAGATATGTTTAATTTCATAATTGCATGTTGAATTATTTTAGTTTTACAGACGAAATCTTGCTCTGTTGCCCAGGCTATAATGCAGTGACTATTCACAGGCCACATTTATAGGATACTGCAGTCTACTTCCTAGCCTCAAGCTGTCCTGCCTCAGCCTCCCAAGTAGCTGAGGCCACATACACGACACTAGGCTGGCATCATGTTGAATTCTTAAATGGAGATATCTATGGAGATGCTTATCTGTACTTCGAGTATGGAATTTTTTCCCTAATCTTGCTACCACTCAGTTTAACTTCCTCTTGACTTTTAAAAGTTTTTAGATTTTAATGTACTCTTTGTGATAATTTAATTACAAAGTTACCATAATCCTTTTTATCTGGTATTTAACCTTTTTTTACACATCATAAAGTGCCTAATTCTTGGCTTGGCGCCTGTGGCCCAAGCAGCGAAGGCACCAGCCACATACACCTGAGCTGGTGGGTTTGAATCCAGCCCGGGAAGCCAAACAACAATGATGGCTGCAA